GCTCCTGGCTTTGGATCAGCAGTGACCGTTGGGGGATGAACCAATGGAAAAGGAAGACCTTTCTCTGTCTCTCTCTCTCTCACTGTCCACTCTGCCTGTCAAAATAAATAAATAAATAAATAAATAAATAAAAACAGAAAAGTGAGAGGCAGACAGCCAGGAGCCAGGAACTCAAGTGAGAGAACACAGGGTCAGGGACCCAAAGCTTGGGCCATCCCCTGCAGTGTCAGGGTGCGTATTAGCAGGAAGCTGGAACTGGGAGCAGAGCGAGGACTGCAGCCCAGGCAGCCCAGGCACGGGGACCGCAGCCCCGCCTCTGAGCCTTCACTTGTAAAGGATTTTCTTCCCACTACAGTAGGTGGAGGGGGATGCACACAATCAGTATTTGAACTTAGTCCATTAATGTGGTTTTTAAAAATAGTGGCTCGTATTTTTTTATAATATTCTTCGTGATTGATAGTTGCCGTATTCTTTGACAACAGAGTCACAATAAGATGTTTTTCTAAAGATTGTTTTTCAGCAAGGGACAACAAAGCTCAGTGTCGAAAAGAACAAAACGTCCATTACAAGTGACATCGGTATGCAGTTCTTCGACCCGAGGACTCAGAATATCTTATTCAGCACAGACTACGAAACTCATGAGTTTCACTTGCCAAGTGGTGTGAAAAGTTTGAATGTTCAAAAGGCATCCACTGAAAGGGTATGATTTATTTTCTCTGCCTTACTAATGGGAGAGAATTGTGTAAAGTTACTAAGTGGGAGGCAGCTTTCCTGTTTGAAGTGGTATGAGGCATATTTTCCAGAGCATTGCTAAGCTTTGCTTCTAGAACTGTCCTTAGCTTGTTGATCAAATCACAAGTCATCTCTCCTTATCTCGATCTCCACATCTATAAAATGTAAATAAAAAGACTTGCCTTTCATATGTTATGATTGAAACTCTTATTTCTATATCTACGGTAATGATATTCACCTTAATTTAGAGCTATTTTCAGTAATTTATTTTTTTTTAATTTTCAGATCACCAGCAATGCCACCAGTGACTTAAACATCAAAGTCGATGGGCGTGCAATCGTGCGTGGAAACGAAGGTGTTTTCATCATGGGCAAAACCATTGAATTTCACATGGGCGGTAACATGGAGTTGAAGGCTGTGAGTATGACCTTAAGAGAATTGTTAGCTCTTCACATACATAAATCCACATGTGGAATATACAGTTATCAAAAATGATGACGCAGTTGTGTATTTGGTGACTGGGAAAGAGGCTAAAAATGCATTATAAAGTGAAAGAAGGCTACAGGGCAGTTTGTGAGAGACCTCATGCTTATTTTTCAGAACACATTTATGTGTATGAAAACCTGGAAGCGTAGACTAAAGTGTCAACAGCATTCGGCTGGCAGTAGCAAGACCACAGATGATTTCATTTTGTTTTTGTTTCCACTAACTTGTGTTTTCTAAATTTGAGGGAGGCCATAATGAGCACATGTGTTGCTCAGGTCCCCTTTATCCAAGCTGGGTGTGTTCCAGGACCCCCAGCGGGTGCCGGAAACCACAGAGAGTACCCAACCTAACATATGCTGTGTTTTCCTACACCTGTGCATACATATGTATAATAAACTTTAATTTATAAGTTAGGCACAGGAAGAGATGAACAATAATAACTATTAATAAGAATAATTCTAACCATATAGTGTGATAAAATTGCCATTGTCGCTGTTCTTCTGCTTTGGGCCATCATTAAGTAAAACAAAGGCTTCCTGAACACACACACTGTCATACGAGGAGAGGGGATCTGATGACCAAGATGGCCGCCGAGTAGCTAACGGACAGGTAGCATGTAGAGTGCAGATCCTCTGGATGAAGGGTGACTTGTCCCAGCTGGGATGAACAGAGGGCAATTTAAAGCTTACGAATTGTTTCTAGCTGGAATTTTCCATTTAACTTTTCAAACAGCAATTAACCATGGGCAACTGAAACCAAGGAATGTGAAATTATGCATAGGGGAACCACTGGATTTTAAAAAGCAAAACCAAGAGTTCTGAAAGAGCCCAGGAAGTACCCAGGCCCTGAAGTTGTCTTTAGTTAGAGATTTTACATAACCCTTCTGAGTTTCATATCTGGCGATATGAAAAAGACTTAGCTAATGTATAAAATGTATTTTTATTTAGACATCGATTAAAAAGAAAGGAAAAAGGTGTCTGCCTATGTTGTGGCTGTTGGAAGTGACATTTTCTTTGTGCTTCACAGATTGTATCTGAGCTTTGACAGGTGTCAGTTTTCATATAAAGGATCTGTGAGTCCAGAATGTTCTACCAGCTTACACCTCTGGCTAAAGCTTTTTTGTTCAGAATGCCTCTGGGTGCCTGCTGTAGGCTGTTAAGCTAACGCTAATTAAGCTGGTCTTAGCAACCCTGCTGTATTTGACAACAGCAAACTTAAACCTATGGGCTTGTAAATAGTTCTTTCCTTTAAAAAAAAAATCCGATTTCATACTTCAGAAAAAGTAAACTCTAAAAAATTAAGTGGCAGTTTCATTCCCAGTAACAGCTTTGTCCCCTAATCATATAACCCATCTCTGAATAGTGGAGATGAGCATATGGTGTAGAAGTTGCCAGAAGCTCGGTAGCCTTAGTGAGCATTTTTGCCTGGACTCCTTTGTGGTAGGAAGCCCCTGAGGAAAGGGCACAGTGGGTCTGTGTTCTTGACACTAGAATGAGCAGTGAGATATAGGAGAGATTTTTTTTATAGAAAGCATTACTCATTTCCTAAATCTTTCGTTTTTTTCCCTTTGAAATTTTCCCCCCATTATACCTTGTTAATCACAAATATTTAGATACTTTGAAATGTACACACATACACACCAGAAAGAGTGTTTCTTATCAATGAAACTCCTCTTTGGTAAACACTGCTTGAGAAACAATTTAATGAAAGTAAGTTAAGTGACCACCAGGTGGCAGCATGGGAACAAAATTGGAAAACTAGTCCCTTGAGCATTGTGTTTATCCCATGTGGGACTGCTACATAATCAGTTAGCCACTGCCATAACTTTACAGCCAAGTTTCTGTTATTGCTTTAAACACTCTAAGCTGCTTTAACCCCTGAACCAGGATTCACACATCCAACTGCCCACCTGCCTTCTCTACTTTGCATGATAGGCACGTCAAACGTACCAAGTCTTTCCTCCCAGCATGCACCCCTCCCATGTCCCCCGTCCTGTGCACTGGTGCCCATCAGCCCTCTGGCTGCACCTTCAGAAGATGCACCGAGTCAGTTTCTCACCTCCTCCACGCACCACCACCATTGCACCATGGTGTAATCCACCATTTCCGGCCTGGACTGCAGGAACGGTGTCTGCTTTCTCCCCAGCAGCCAAAGTGAACTTTTTAAAATGCCCATGTTGCTTCCCTGTCTGGAGCCCTCTGCATGGCTTCCCGTCTCATTTGGCATGCAATCCCAAGTCCCCTCCCTGGGTGTCTGTGTCTGGTCCCTGGTTATTTCTTTGCTTCATCTCCGCCCAGTGCTTCCTTCGGCTCTGCCCTTCGTCCGCAGTGGCCTCCTTGCTATCCCTAAACACCAGGCACTTTTTCCTCTCTGCACGCCATGTACACCCGGAGTGCCCTTCCCAGGTACTTCTCAGCTCACTCCTCACGTCTTCCAGTCTCTCTTGGAATGCGACCTTAGTCCCTGCCTGGCCACTGTGTATGTGGCCTGCTTGATTTCCCTACAGCACATGTCCCACCTGCGGGTTACCCCACCTCGTGAAAATACCAACCCTATGGGAACCCGGCCTCTGCCTGTGCTACTTACTTCCGTATCTCCAGCACTAAAGAGCGACTGGCATACAGTAGGCACTTAATGCTTATTTGTTGAATGAGCAAATGAGGGAGGTGTAGGTATCCCTAAAAAGAAGGGGGTTAAGAGCCCATGGTACAAGAATGTTCCTGGGCCAATGGGCTGACTCTGCAAATCTCCAGGGAGTCTCCTTTGAGTGCCTGCTCTTGAAAATGTATGTGGTTTTGAAAATTTTGAAAATGTATTGTGTATTGTCCAAGAGAAAAATGGTCCCTTCTCATCATCACCAGCTTATCAATCTTTAACTCTGTTATAACTCACTTAGGAGTTAACAAAGGAAAATGATTTGAAATTTTATCACTATCAGTTTCATTATGCTCGTAGGAAGCCTTATGCAGTTTTTCTTTAAAAAGATGTATTTAATTATTTATTTGAAAGGCAGAGATACAGAGAGCAGAGGCAGAGAGGGAGAGAGAGAGAGAAAGAGAAAAGAGAGAGAGAAAGGTTGTCCAGCTGCTGGTTCACTCCCCAATTGGCTGCAACAGCTCGAGCTGCACCAATCTGGAGCCAGGAGCCAGGAGCTTCTTCTGGGTCTCCCACGTGGATGCAGGGGCCCAAGGACTTGAGCCATCCTCTACCACTTTCCCAGGCTGTAGCAGAGAGCTGGATTCTAAGTGGAGCAGCTGGGACTCGAACCAGCGCCCATTTAGGATGCTGGCGCTGCAGGCGGCAGCTTTACCTGCTGTGCCACAGCACCAGCCCACCTTATGCAGTTTTAACTAATAATTGAAGAATACATTATGTTACAGTTTTATAGAGATGCGTTAAGCATAAACTGAGAAGTCAGCCATTTGAGCCTTGAGGTTGGTTTTGGTTTTGTTGTTGCTGCTGCTGTTTTGGTCAGGACTACCCTTCCTTTCCTTGCTAGCATGCAGTAAGCTTGGTTTACTGACTACACCCACTACACCACGCATGGCGGTAAATCAGGTGTATTATTATTCTCCTGGTAGGAAAACAGCATCATCCTCAATGGGACGGTGATGGTGAGCACCACCCGCCTGCCCAGCTCCTCCAGCGCAGACCAGCTGGGTGGCGGCGACTGGGTGCGCTACAAGCTCTGCATGTGTGCCGATGGCACCCTCTTCAAGGTGCAGGTGACCGGCCAGAACGTGGGCTGCCAGGTCTCGGACAACCCCTGCGGGAACACCCACTAGAAGACCTGCAGGCGTCATCGCGCCTTCCTGTCTGGACTGACCTGACTGCATGCGCACTGTGGTTTTCACGGAGTGTGAGAGAGCTCATTGTGATGAATGTGAACCACAGAGCGCTGCTCTGTCCGGATTCCCAAAGGTCTCAGAGAGCCTACATTCTTCACAGTTCATCACCTTGCACCCATCTTCAAATGACAGTTCCCTAAAGTCATGGAAGGAATGCACAGAGTCAACATTCATCTTTGAAGAAGTGCTTTTAAAACCCACTCTGGGCCTCGGCAGCTGCTGGCTCGCCATCAGCAAGCTCTCGGGAGCAGCAGGGAGAAAGCCAAGGAAGCCACTGAAAAGGCACACAGTCGGGGTCTCGCACTGTGTCTGGGCTTCCCAAAGGAGCGACACAGGCTTCTAGTGCCTCGCCCTCGAGCCATATGCTTGCGTGCGAGAGGGGAAGAAACTCCAGTTTCTTAGTTTTGCACTTGGAAGAAAATCCTCTGTAATAGGCTGCTTACTTGACGTAATGGTAACTATTAAGTGTTCATAACATGGTAGGAATTAAGACACAGTCCCAGCATTAGAAACTAGAGTTGTCGCTTACTGCGCATCGCGTTTCCCATCGCCAACACCCACCACAACTCTAAGAGGATGCTGTTACCCCTGCATTACCCACCAAGACCCTGCGAATGAGAGAAGTTAAGAAACTTGCCTGAGATCACATGGTGAGTTCAGGTGTGACTGCAGTTCAGGCATGAATGTACCTGACTCCACGTGCCATGTCCTTTTTGCTGTCTGCACTGGATTTTCAGTTGTTAAAACTCTGGAACGATGAACAGAGTAATTCACGTTTACGGATGAGAATCAAACCAAACAGGCACACTGATTCTAGTATTCTAGTTAAAATTTAAAAATCTCATGTCAGATTGAAAGATGACCAATCGCTTTCAGACTTTAAACTCTTTTAAGCGCATTTTATTTTATTTTTTTGACAGGCAGAGTTAGACAGTGATAAAGACAGAGAGAAAGGTCTTCCTACCATTGGTTCAACCCACAAATGGCTGCTGTGGTCGGCGCGCTGCGCTGATCCGAAGCCAGAAGCCAGGTGCCTCTCCTGGTCTCCCATGTGGGTGCAGGGCCCAAGGACTTGGGCCATCCTCCACTGCACTCCCGGGCCACAGCAGAGAGCTGGACAGAATCCGGCGCCCCAACTGGGACTAGAACCCAGGGTGTTAGCGCTGCAGGCGGAGGATTAGCCTAGTGAGCCACGGCGCCGGCCATTAAGCGCATTTTATTTAAAGTCTTACCCCCCCAGAGAGGTCAGAGTGGCATGCTGTGGCTTACTCCAGTTTCCTAACGATGCACCCCGGCACATGGGGTACCTGGCTGGTCACAGGGAGATATTTATACCCTGAGCTCTCTGGGCCACACACTGCAAAGTGGGGAGCCCATGGGCCCAGCCAAGGCCTGCTGGGGCCACCAGGGCCCACAGAAATCACACCCTTTTTGTGTGCCATGCTGTGGTGTTAGGAAACACTGGACTAACGGGTGCTAACGCAGGAGGGTGACACCAGATGTTGTTATGTACGTATAAGGGTTCCTCTGTGCTCCTGATGTCACTGTCACATTGTCATTCTTTACAGCCCTCGAGTGAGTTGATTCTTTCATATATTTTATATGTCATCTGAAGACAACTGTCTACAGTCATTAAGATACACACGAGATCCGGGACGTGTATGTAGACATGTGTGCCAGGCCCCAGCCTGCGTTCACGGGCAGCTGTCCGCTATTCTGTCGTGGTCACCTCAAACTATGTAGATAAGAAAACCAGCAGTGCATAGTCAGCATTATCACATTTCTCTCTGATAGAAAAACCAAATGCTTTAGAAATTATGAAGTCAACAAGTCATACTGAAATAAAGATGGACTTACTACCTAGCAAAGTGCAGTTTTTAAATGAGAAGAGACTGGTGACTTCTGACTGTTAGTAGTTGTGATATTTGTACCCATTGGATATATTCAGTATCACTTAATATATGAATGATCTTCAGGAAAATAGTTGGAAATTTCATCTAGAAACTCAGTCTATTTTTAAATCTACATTTGTTACTTGTCTGTGCTTTAGATTTTTCTTTTGAAAGTTCCTTTAAATAAATATTTTTACAAAAACCACAGAACACTATAAAGTATTATTTATTGAATGTCATTCATGAAATAATCTATTTTTACTGCTTTTTGAGAAATATTTGTGTTTTGATGCATCTCCATTAAATGCTTCTGACCTGAGAGGGCATTTGATGTTTTTCTAGAGCTGATTGTTAACAGGATGGCATTTTAGGGTCCTTGCCAGGGAGGCCTTGCTTTTCTCACTGAAAGGTGGACCCGGAGAATGCCCTGGGGCTGCACACGGCCACCCCATCCACCCCACCCACCCCACCCGGGACCTCTGATTCGCAGGGAAGCTGCAGCTCCTCCACCCGCCACCACAGGTGCTTTTCTGTGAGCTGAACGTGTTTCCTCTTCCTGGTGTGTGCACTCCCTTGCCCTGAACTCAGATAGGACATGCAGCAGCCAGGGGGAGGTGGTGACAAAGGCAGGGCCCTGAGCGGGGCCTCCCATACGTGCTTTGTGTAAGTAGCTGCCATCTTTGGCCGGATTTTGCAGTGATAATGGCGCCAAATGATGTTTATGCACCATTTTTTAGACTGTGTAATGGGCAGATCGGAGAAATGCAGAACACACAGCAGGGACTGCTTGCCCAGAGTGCGATATTTAAAGGTACACTTATTTGTATTTTTCATGTATTGTGAAAAAAATAAATTGTGTGATAGTACCAGTGATGAAAGGTGGAAGTTCTGAATGAGTGTACTTTAAGAGGGTAAGAATTCTTCGGTGCTGGACTTGGCAAGAAGAGATCACGGAAACTCTGATCATCTTTTCTATAAAAGTGTTGAGCAGGGGCAAGGATTGTGATTTATGCCATGCAGAAACTGTTCCAGCTTGCTACCTGGAGTTTCAGTAATTCCATTTGTAATAATGACTTCCGTTTGCAATAAAAATTCTATTAACAGTTTGCTGTTATTTTTTGATGGTTATATATTAACAAGTTGCTCCCCAATTGTGTGGACACGATGAATTTGAATATGGCTCAAGAATGGGACCCTGTAAGTGTTTGCCTAAGCTCTCTGGAATCCTAGAACTTGTGCATCCCCAGTGTGCTGGGGCTCCTCCCTGGGCACTGTGGAATGCCCCTTGCCCGCATCGCCGGGGAATGGGCACCAGGGGCCGGCGTCCGGAGGTGAAAGGGTGAAGGTGTGCCACAGGGCGGGGCGAAGGCTGGCTGGGTGGAGCCACCAAGGCGAAGGTCTGAAATCCCCAGCAGGCTGGATTGATTGGGATCCAGACCCACCTGCTGGGACCCACAGACACAAGGTACAGGCTGGATTGATTGGGATCCAGACCCACCTGCTGGGACCCACAGACGCAAGGTGCGCCTCGGATGCAGCATCATTCCTGTGTTCTTTACACATTCTGTCAACGCCAAAAACCGCCTCTGTGGCTGTTTTCTTTCTGAGTTGCCAATTTCCCTTTCGTTTTATGTAAGAATAAACTCTGTTTCCTTTCTGCTTTTCTTCTGTTGCCTTCTCGCTCCCTCTCTAAGACAGACAAACAACTCCATGCTTCATCATACTGGAACTTGAGTTTGAATATGTCCATTTGGGGATTTACATTTACTTAATTATTTCCAGTTTCCTTGGGGGCTTTTTCTGGAGTTCCCCGTGGTTTCTTAATTAGGATATATAAACCTGTGTATAATGTGAATCATTTTTCTTTACAATGGAGACCATTCACTATAAGGTGTCAGATTATCCTTAGCTAGCTGTTTGAACTCAGATCTATTAGTTACTACATAAATTGCTTCAACTTAAAGAGAACCAGGGCATAAGTTTTAAAATCACTCACTTCTGTCTCTTTAAGAGAAACTAGTTTCCAGTTACCTGAACACTGTCGTTTTTGTTGCTGATGTTACATTGGCTTGGTGTACAACTGCATATCAAGTGATTCCAGCTGTGTAGAAACAAACATCTTTCTCACTGGGCAAATTAATTCAATTTCTGGCACGGTGTAAGGAGCACACTACAAAAACCAGTAACTTCCACGCCGTAGGGCACCTTTTGCAGTTCATGGCTGTGTGTGCCTGAATTTAGATGCCCTTCAAAATATGGGAGAACTGACCTTGTCAGGAACAAGTTTAAAGCTTACACTGTAAATGTTATTCATGACAGACTGCAGACTATTAAAATACAGAACATGGAGTTTATGTATCCTGGTCCTTATCTTCTTTGGGGGAATTAAAAAATGGACAAAAAGCAAGGTGCTAACCGTGCGTGATACAGTATTCACATTCAAACTGAATGTTACTAGTGTTCATTCATTCATTTATTCTTTACTCAAAGAGTTCTGCAAACCAAGACAAAAAATAGAGGCTAAAGCAGGAAAAGGGGTCTCAGGTGCCAGGATCTGAGGTGAATCTGGAGGGATATCTACAAGTTGAACTGAGAGTAAACAACACATTGAACTTGGAATTGGGTGTGAACTACAATCAAATTTTAGCATTAGAAATACAGATACGGAGTTTTTTGGTTTTGTTTTGTGCCCAAAGGCACATCTTATCTCACTAGTTCATGAAGCTAGCTAGATAACACATGGCTTTGAGTGCCACCTTATCTCCCTTGGGGACTGGGACTGGTGGCAATAAGGAACCCCTGGAGGGTTCTGAAGCAAGGAGTATTAGGGGAAATAATCCTTTGGAATCACCTCGGATGGGTCAAGAAGAAGGAAGGGCAAGAGGCAGAGGCAGAAGGATCAGTGAAGCCATCCTAGCGTCAGACTACAGTGATGAAAACTACGGCAGTGCCGTTAGAACAGAAAGGAAGGGACGATTGTCATGAACGTACATTAGAGTAATGTGATGACTTCTACGCTTTCTGGTTTGGAATGAAATTTAGATCAGAGACATTATCCATGTGCTTTTAAATCTGCCCTGTGTATGCATTCTTCCATTGTTATTTACATATAGTTGTTTTAAAATTCACAATTGCTTCCCAAGAATTTTTGGTGAAAAAGAGACTTGATGTTTGTATTGTAATGACATCTTCCTGGTTCTGAGACAGAGCCTCATTTTTAGTATTTTACTTATGCTGTATATATTTAAATGATTGGAAAAGTCACAAAAGCCACAGAGCCGAAGTTTGTAGTTCTTCTAGTCATTAAAAAAAAAACAAGCCCCTCTTAGGAGTTGAACTTTCCACTCAGACAGTTACAGGAGGTTCACAGTGTAGTGCAAATACATGCCATCGCACAATAAAGCACATGACTGATTACAGCGTTGTAGATAAGCGTAACAGACTTTGCTCAGCATTAATGACTGGCAGAGACACACACACCTCCGTAATCCCTGTGAGGTTTCAGGCACTCAGAGGCAGACAGCACGGTGGATGGATGCAGGAAAACCAGGTGCGGAGGTGAGACCTAAGTGAGAATGAGTTTTCTAAAAAATGCGGGGGGAGGGACTTTGCTTAAAGTGCAACGTAAATAAAATGTTATAGTATAACTGGGTAGCTGGAGTCTAAGAAATCATTCACTTAAATCAGCAATCAAGACAAGAGAACTTTTCCAAATCCTCATTGAAAATTCAATTTTCTGATTCTTTGCTGTTAGTTTTTACATAAGTTATTCTGAGTAAGTCAATTCATTTTCCTATTTCCAGGCATTATGAAAAGCCTCTATTTCAGAGTGATAGTCATAGTTCTTGGGGTTGCTGGAACAGAGACAGAGCCATCCAGGAAGAGCAGTAGTTTTTTCAGTTCTGAGTGCCAGTGGAATGAATATCTTCCGACAAATTGCTCCTTTACTGGAAACCATCACCTGCCTGCTGAGGGATCGCAGACAGCGGCCACAGTGGACGTCAGCTTCAATTTCTTCAGAGTTCTCTTACAGTGCCACAGGAGAAAAGAAGAATGGAAGGTAAAACACCTGGACCTCAGTAACAGTCTCCTCTGGAAGACAGCCTTAAGCCCCCTCAGGTGTGCACCCGCCCTGGAAATACTAAACCTCAGCAGCAATGCCATCCGCTCCATCTCGTGGGGTCTGCCCAGCCCCACGTCCTCTGGGGTGAGACACCACGGAAGCAGCTTCAGAGCTGGACTTCCATTTCTAAAGGTGCTAATTCTCCAAAGAAATCAGCTCAGCAACACTCCCACGGGTAAGTACAGCTTTAAAAGCTGAAGTTGAGTAGATGTTGGACCTGGCAATTAGGACACCAGCTGGGACACCCACATCCCATATCAGGGTGCCTGGGTTCAAGTCCTGGTCCCACTCTTGACTCCGGTTTCCTGCTAATGTGCACCCTGGGAGGCAGCAGTGATGGCTCAAGTACTTTGGTCCTTTCCACCCATGTAGGAGATCCAGAATAAGTCTTGGGCTTCTGGCTTTGGCCTAGCCCAATTTGGTAAGCATTTCGGAGAGAATCAGCGGAGGAGAGTATGTGCTTGCTAGCTCGCTTGCTCTTTCTCTGCTTCTTTAAAAAAAAAAAAAAAAAAAAAAAAAAAAAAAAAAAGATGCAGTAGACAGAGGAACAATGAGCATGTGGAGAGTTTTATGTCAATAAGAATTCCATATAATTTCTTCAGTTTCAAGGAAAGAACTGAAAGGGAAGCAATTTGATCAGTGCAAAAATAATGAGTTTCTTAGCAGAATTGGAAGTTGTTACACATAGAACTCACAGTCAATGAAATTTAATCTTCCATAACTTCCATCAATGTTCTATAGATTTTTCAAGAGACATTAAGAAATATTTAAGTGCTAAATAACTATCTACAAAATTATATATATTTGTTGATATAGAAAAGCACTGAGAAGTAACTGTTTCAGATACTTTTATTTCATTTATTTATTTGAGAGGTAGAGTTACAGACAGTGAGAGGGAGAGACAGAGAGAAGGGTCTTCCTGACAGTGAGAGGGAGAGACAGAGAAAGGTCTTCCTTCTGTTGGTTCACTCCCCAAATGGCCACAACAGCCGAAACTGTGCCAATCCGAAGCCAAGAGCCAGGAGCTTCTTCTGGGTCTCCCACGCAGGTGCAGGGGCCCGAGGACTTGGGCCATCTTCTACTGCTTTCCCAGGCCACAGCAGAAAGCTGGATTGGAAGAGGAGCAGCCGGGACTAGAACCGGCACCTATATGGGATGCCAGCGCCGCAGGCGGAGGATTAACCTATTGTGCCACAGTGCCGGCCCCTCAGATACTTTTAATATGTAACAATTCAAATTAAATATGTTGTCATATTTATAATTTTGACCATTGTAGAATGCTTTTTGCCTCTACTTATCTAGTTGTCTTCCAACTGTAGATCAGAAGTAGGTTAATTTTATATATTAAGTATGTAAACTTTTTCTTATTATCAAATCAAAATCAGAATTGCTTATCCTAGTTTCTAACAGGATACCCACCGTGTCCTCCTATTATAATAAATTCTTATCTGATATTCAGGTCTACATATTAGAGTTTCTTTGCTAATATACCAAGTGTTATTTTGAAAATGTTTCAAGTTTACAAGGCAAATTTGCTTTGCCCTTTTTATATTCCAGAGCACTAGACAATTTCTTTTCCTTGTTTGTTTTTACTCTTGTTCACTATTTGCTAACCACCTACTTTATATAAGACACTATGCTTACCAAAAAAAAAAAAAAAAAAAAAAAAAAGCATTTGGATAGTGTCTTCTTTCTTTATCCCAGGTAACACACTTAGTTTTTTTTTATTTACCAGTTCTTTACATTTTTACTTTGAGTTTTACTCTTTCTTGGGCTTCTGTCCTGAAGCATCATGTTGTTGAGAATAGCTAAGCCGGTAAAGAAATGACTGTTGCAGTCCGCATGTCGGCAGAACTGTGAGAGAAAGGGGCAAGTCTTCTCTCCCTGACCTTTTCCTTAAAAGTTCTATGTGGTATTTGCAGTGTAAAGTGTAAGTTGATTGCATTTTATTCTGTGAGTGCAAATGTTATTTTCTACTGTTCTTATTACAAAAGGAATGCATGTTACTTATAGAACATTCAGGAACTGAAGAAAAATTCAAAGGAACAAATTAAAGCTATTCATGCAGTATATATACTTCAGATTTATTCTCTTTGCCTATATGTACAGTTTTCTTCCAAATTAGATCATATTGTCCATAATTCATAGTTTGTATTTTCATATCACAGAATATTTTGTAAATATTTATATAATTAGGTAATCTCATAAATATGTTAAGTGGTTGAAGAGTTTTCATATATATATATCATAGTGAAATCAAACAACATTTAAGCCATTTCTTTTTATGAATATCAGTATCAGTGTATATATCTATATGACATAACATGTTCTAACTAGTAAGGTAGACATGAGTCTCACTCCACAAAGTCAAGTGTACTAGGCAAATAAGTGCCTTTAGTCTGTAACAAACTAACTACTTTCTGATTCTGGTCCCCCCTTAAGGGGCTGCTTTGTAGGGTACTTAACAGCAGTCTTTCATCAGCTTTCCTCTGCCTTTTCCCACATTTGTACCAAGCTCTCATACGTTACACCCTGACAAGGCACCAGGGACTGTGTGTGTATGTGTGTGTGTATGTGAGACTGTGCATGTGTATGGGTGTGTGTGTGTCTGTGCATGTGTATGGGTGTGTGTGTAATTCCTTTCTTCCAGAGGTTGAACTTGCGGAATTGTAGGCTCCTCTGCCTTCCATGTTGCCCTGTGCTGTCTCTGGGACAGTGAACACACAGCCTACTTCTGCCCTATGAGCAGAAAGGGAAGGAGAAGAGGAAGTAAAAGATGCAGATGTCAAAATATTATTCCTCCAGAAGAGTAAGAGAAGTACTGGCTGATTAATTCCCCAGAGCTCACTGGGGTCAGGGTTCATACAGTGCACTTACGGACCAAACAGCCCTGTAAATGCAGATACAGGCCAACTTCCTGTTTCAAGTTAAACTTACGCCTCTCAAAATATCAGGAAATGATATTAAACTTGCAAAGGAAAAAAGTGAAATGAGCAAATCTTGTAACTGAAATTCTATCTGGATTTTAGCAAATGAAGCCATAGTGAAAGGAAAGAGATAGATACATGATGGATGTCCAATGTAAGCCATGAGTCTAATTGGATATAATTTGGAGTCTTTTACCCATGGCATTTTGTCACATGAATTATTTCCCTGGAATCATTGGAGGCTGTCAGTTTTTGCCAGGTCAAGTCCCCTTGGTCATCCCTTCCCATTTTATGATTTTCTGAGCATGAGTATGTCTGTCTTTGAAATCCTTTTTTGGGTGGAAATAATTGGTGGGAGAGAGGTGCTGCCTGGGGTACCACTTTATTTCTGGCCTTTTTGCCCTTGGATTCCTTTACGTCTGGGTACTACAAGATCTACTTAATTGTGAGAACTAAATGGAAATGTATCTCAAGAATATGACAGTGTTTGGTATAATGAGTGTGGCAATCAGAATGTGTGAAAAGTACTCTGTAAACTCGTACTTTACAAATATTAGTTTTGATAACTTGCTTGGCATAAATTGAGAAAAATCATTCTTCAAAACAGCTAATTAATTTGTTTTTGTCAAACTCTACAGTTAGCTTTTAAAATGTTAAACAGCAATTGCAGTCAATGCAGTAACTCATGAGCAGAAACTTATGTGTGTCTAGGTAGAGGTGCTGGCACTCATCTAGATCATAATCAATGAGAACCAGCCAAGAAATCTGGGCTAGCACTCATTGGTATGATTTTAGATGAGTGTCCCATGTATTTGTAAGGGGTGTCTGTCTATAGCACATTCGGGAAAGTCCTCTTTTGTACAGGTGAAATATCACACAGACCAACCCCATGTCAGCTAGTCTTTGTCCTCAGAGTCAGCTGTGATGGCATCAACAAGCTTTGCATTGGAAAAGCACCCAGGGGAGGTGCTGCCAACAGTTTACAAAACAAACGAGCTGTGAACTCAACCTTAATAATTGTCCTGCTTTCCTCCCATACTTTTATTTTTTATTGTTTATTTATTTATTTGAAAGTCAGAGTTATGCAGAGAGAGAAGGAAAGGCTGAGAGAGAGAGAGAGGGAGGTCTTCCATCTGCTGGTTCACTCCCCAATTGGCCACAATGGCTGGAGCTGCACAGATCCGAAGCCAGGAGCCAGGAACTTCTTCTGGGTCTCCCACGTGGGTGCCCAGGTCCAAGGACTTGGGCAATCTTCTACTACTTTCCCAGGCCACAGCAGAGAGCCGGATCAAAAGTGGAGAAGCTGGGACCAGAACCGGTGCCCAAATGGGATTCTGGCACTGCAGGCAGCGGCTTTACTTGCTATGCCACAGCACCGGTCCCCCTCCCATACTTTTAGAGTATAGTGTTAATAACTGAAAAATAACTTTTTCAAAAGATTTATTTTTACTTACTTCAAAGGCAGAGTTACAGAGAGAGAAGGGGACAGATGGAGAGAGATCACAGGCAGTGGCTTTCCCCGCTATGGCACAATGCCAGCCCTTGAAAAAAAATTTTTAGTATTTTTTCAACATGAGATCAGTCAGTCTCTGGTTAAACTGTCCCGTCTTCATCAAGCAGTATTATCAGAGTGCCCGGAGAATGACTCAAAATGTATCAAGACCAGAGCCTTAATGGGAATCCAGTTAGTTTGACAGACAAGATGCCAGCAGCTCACATTAACCCACTAAGCTCCAGAACCCAAGACACAAATGTGTTTAGGTGCAATGATGTAATATCTGAAATTTGAAACTGATAGATTTTTTTAAAAAACTATAACCAGTGCATTATAAAAGCAAAGGTATGTTGTATTCTTTTATACATTATTTCATCCTGTTTGCCAGTGGATTGTGGGAACACCATACTAATAATAAAAATGTCCCCAACCAGTACAGGTTTTAAGGAAACAAAATATGGAGCCAGTGCTGTGGCGTAGTGGGTTAAGCCTCCAACTTCATTGCCGGCATCCCAAATGGGTGCCAGTTCAAGTCCTAGCTGTCCCACTTCCAATCCAGCTCTGTGCTAATGGCCTGGGAAAACAGTAGAAGATGGCTCAAGTGCTTGGGCTCCTGCACCCACATGGGAGACCCGGAAGAAGCTCTTGGCCCCTGGCTTCAAATTGGCCCAGCTCTAGCTATTGCAGCCATCTCTCTTTCCCTCTCTCCCCCTCCCCCTCCCCCTTTCCCTCCCCCTTCGGCTCCCTCTCCCT